TCGAATCATCAAAGAAGAATCAGCGTGAAATTCCGGCATTATTATATTCTGGTACACTTTATTTAGGATTAATATTGTGAGCTAAACGAAATGTTTCACCTTTGTGAAATTATTTTAACTGGCGAAATATTTCGAATTTGAAAAGTGATTTCGCCCACTTATGTTCCTACTTATGTTCCCACTTATGTTGTTAAAGGCTAAACTAGAATGTATCAAAATGGTTTCCTTTAGTGAATAAATTATTTCATTCTGGCGAAATTATTTCATTCTGATGAAATTATTTCATTCTGATGTAGTTTCACCCGCAACACTATTTTGTAATCAAACTTATATTATATTTAATGTCAGGGATGATGCTGAAACGTTGATTTATTTTAATATGAAATTTTAAAGTTTTTGGTTGATGTTTTTTTTAGCTTTTTTTTTGCTGTTAAGTTAGGGTTTAGGGTTAGTGTTTATAATAAAAAGTATAAGTGGATTTTAGTAGGGTTTATATTTCTAAATTGAGACCCTCACATTTCAGCATCATCTTGTTTCAGCATTATCCCCAACATTTAATATATTTTATGTAAACTAATCGATATTTATTTTTTCTAATAAATTTTTATCAGTGCTATTTGGCTGATGGCCGCATCTAAAATTTCAACTCAAATTCCGCCTAGCAGATTATCTGTACACACTAATTCTTCTCCCTCATCATTTATTTCATCGGTAAATCCTACATCCTCCGTAAAGACATTTCCTACTTTTATTCACCTGGTAAAGATATACCTTCATCAGAAAATGTAGGCCATAATTCTTATAGTAGAGATGCTGATGCTGAAACTCACAATAACATTGGGGCTAATAATTCATCTGATTTACTCCAAACTAACGTGAATCCTCCTAAAAATAATATATCACCTGATGAATAAGGTTTTTATTAATATTTAAAATTTATTGAATATATATATATATGTATATTTTTCGCAAGTCTAATTTTTTTTAATATTTAGATGAAAGAAATGGGTTGAGATTGGGAGACTTTGTATTTTATAGTGTTCTAGTAGTACAAGCTGGTATGTAATGCTTAATATCCGCTGTTGCAATAGATTTAGTGCACGATTCTTTAACGTTAATTTCTGTTCATCAAATAATTAGCTACATTTAATTAGATAACAACAGTAGCATGCGTTGTTTCTGTTCTAAGGTAGTGTATTCCTTAAAGTATAGTGTTACAAATGGTATGAAGATCAATAATCCAAATTTAATTTTATGTTTTCAAAAAAGCATTTTTTGAATTCTTAATATTCTCAAAATTATAAAGTTAAAATTTTTTAATATTAAAAAATTTTCTAATAATTTATGTTCATAAACATTTTTATGTTCTCAGAGAACACTGAGGTCATCAAATTTTAAACACTGTTTATACGGTCAAATTTGTAACTTTTATTATTATTAAAATTATGTAGATATGCATGTCAGATACATCCTCATGCTATATTTACTTCCGGAAAAACCTCATCTGCTGCTGGTTTAACCGCAGCTGTTGTCAAAGACGAAGAGTCATGTGATTTTACCATAGAGGCAGATGCTTTAATGCTAGTGGATAATGTAAGCAATATAATATTTCATTGATTGTATTAACTATATCACATAAATATTTATATGCATTTTCATTCAATTAGGAGATCTGTACTATTGGAATTTGATAAAATAGATATTTTTAATCAAGTTGCCATTCATGAAGCTATGGAACAGCAGACAATCTCTATCACAAAAGCTGGAATTCATGCGGCATTGAATGCTCGAACTTCAATTTTAACGGCAGCAAATCTGAATGGTGGTCACTTAGAGTAATATGCAAATTTGATATTTTTTTTAATGCTATTTAGAGTTAGTTCAAGCTAATTTTTTTTATTTTATTAGCGAAATATTTTGATGTCAGCACTAATCATATCCCAATTTGATCTATTTTTTGTGGTACTAGACGAATCAGACCAGAAATAGATCAGATGATAGCTGAACATATTGTAGGAATCTACAGAAAAGGTGATGAGAATATTAATCTACCCTATGATATTGAAACACTTTAATGATATATTCGCTATGCAAGAACTTTCAAACTGAAGGTTTGTTGTATACAATGTACAGATATTTATTATAATATCATATTTTGACAATTTTTTTTTTTTTTTTGAAAAGATTTCTCAAGATTTTAAAAGATTGTTAGTTGAAAAATATAAACAACTCTGTCAAGATGATGTTTCCAGCACAGCACAAAATTTCTACTGTATTATGGTTAGACAAATTTGATTGTCTGAATCTATTGCAAAGGCTCATTTCAAGAATGAAGTAGGTTGGAATTGTAGCAATAGATTTTTAGTTAAAAAAAATAAAGATTTATTTGTTTTATATAGGTAATTCCAGATTTTGTGAATGAGGTAGCTAAACTTATACAGCAGTCTATAATTCATATTTATCATGAAGTAATGCAAATTATTTAGTATTTATTCTGATAATTGTTTTTATAGAAAAAATATTTGCAGAAAGTTCCTAAAGGTAGTCATAAAGATATCGATCTTGAGGATGATTAAGAATATGACCAAATGGATATTGAACAGGTAGAGTCAGATAAACTGACTATATATCCAAATATTGACATTGATAATTACTAAACTTTGATTATAATAAACTTGATTGCTTTGAATGTCCCAAATTGAATATTTTTTTATAATTTGTATATATTAAATTATAATTTTTAATAAAACATAGTATATAGTACGTAATAAAGATTTTTTTTTTGAAAATAAAATATAATATGACAACAGTACTTTAATCATATTGATATACATGTCTACTTAAATAATATAATTACAAAATTATCCACTTTTAATGATGCATATGTAGTTAAATTAAAAAAGGTATTCAGTTAAGTAGTACTGTACGCTAGTACAAATTTGGATGGATATACAAAAATTATACTAAAAGTAATATGTGCTTGATGAAATTTTTCTTTTACAAACCATACTATCTTGATTTCTACATGTCTGTCCTGTATTTTTATACCATACTACACTTATACACATAAGTGTACCCTGCTATAGAAGTTCAATGAATATCTAGTAAGCAAAATATCAAAATATAGCTTGCAAGTGTTAACAATTAGACTTTTTTTAAAAAAACATGCTGTATAAAAAATATGCTAATTTCAAGAAAAAAAATCAAAAAAATCAAATTAAACACTAAAGAGCTCATCATTAACTTCTCTTGAATTCAATGTATTTTGTGTTACTGTTTGCTCTTGGGTTTCATTTGTAATTTCAACTGCTATATATTTATTGTTATCAGAGATTGCTGTTTCTTCTGTGACAATAATTTCCACAGATTCTCGAGATGGGGCACCATTATTTTCAAAGTCATGCTAAAAATTATTATTATGAGTTACAATTAGAAATACAAATTATGACTTTAAAAAAAGCTGATTCGATCCGTATTTTGTATTTTGTGTTTTGTTTATAAGTGTTGCATATTCACAGAATTTATAATCTTAAATCATGGAGATTATTCAGCTTGTTTAGATTTTTTTGATAAGTTTCAAAATTTTTACAAAAAATAGTGGAAATATTTGTAAAAATTTTTTTACAGAGTCCCAATCACTATCTTTTGTATAGTACATACATCCATATTATTTTACTAAATATGCTAAACCAATAACATGCTAAATAGTTACCCTAAGTGACTGCTAATAAGGTAATTGCCTCAATTTCTACTTACAATATATCTTTCCAATCTTCGTTTCATTCTGTTTTTAGAGGGTTAAGGAGTATATCACAAACTGCAAGAGTAAATGCATAGTGTGCATTTGTCAAATTTGGAACTGATGCTTCACTAAATGCAAATCGCGCAATTATGGTAATCCAGTATATTCCATCATCATTGCATTGGAAAAGTGAGTTAAAGTACTTGGAAATTTTTTGGTTGCTTTTCAATGTGACAATATTGGAGATAGATGAATTATTTTTTAATGATGGTAATTTTTCTGTACCAAATACACGAAATGTCGTCTTTCTAACATTAGATAATGCTGTGCCTCGTATATTTTTCATTTTTAATAATAGCTTTTGACAAAAAAAAATAAGAAATTTTTAGTATGTATCTTAGTTTTGCAACCTAAAAATTTGGAATAATTTAAAATTATATTATGTATATATCTAAATTAAAACTTGTTTTTACATTAAAAATATATAGTTTATACCAATAATCATGTGATATATGTCAATTTTTGAGATTAATGAAGCAACCAAAATTCAAATTTCTTAAAATTGCTCAAAATTTTATTAATAAAATAATAGCCCACACACTAAATAAAACTGCTCAGATGATATTTTGGTGTAGTATAGTCAGCATTTATTATTGCTTAATACCAGCCTAGATTTGGATCTTTTCTGACTCTAATTTTGATTGATTGGCTAAATTTTGGTTGCTTCACTAATCTATAAAATTGCTGAATAGTTTTTTAAAATGTTTTCTATAAAAAATTTTACTGATTTAATATTTAATATTTAAATTTATTTGCAACTTATAGGAATTGGTATTATATGTACTTAAAGTTACAGTCAGTTTTTAGATGCCTTGTCTGCATAGAGTTGTACTTTTTAATCACATGATTGTTGGGTATTATATAGGATCTTTGCAAGGAAAACAACGCTCAATAAAAAAATTTTTTGATGATCAAATACTAGGGGTATAAGTCATAAAAAATATAGAATACTGGTACTTTATATGGTAAAATATAATAATTAAATATAGTAATAAATATATACTGGACTAAGCCATTCACCATGAAAACGGTTATGAAATTGATTCGGGCTAAGGTTAGCTAACAGATCATGGTATTTTTCTTCCAAGTATGTCTTTAATGTGTCTTTTAAGACATCTTGTGTTGGATAGGGAGTTTTTGGAAAAAGACGTTTTATGCTAAATAAATGGTATGTTTCTATATTCAATTTTTAGAAAAAATACTTACATCTAATACTTGTGGTGAGAGCTCATTTTCTTGCTCAACACTTAGTTTTTTGAGCTCATTTTTAATTTTATTTAGATCATCTTTATTTTTTAATAACAATAAATATAGTTGCCTGTTCTGTTTAAATAATCGATCATCGATTTGACGATGACGTTCTAAAAAAATTTTAATTAATGTTGCTATAAAAATCTTTTAATAATACTTAGTAATATCGATCAAAATTGAAAATTTCAGCATATTAAAATTTTTAATTTTGACTAATGTAATTTATACCTTCATATGATAGTGTAGTTTTGGTTCTACTTAGAGATATCATAGCTTGTAACTCTTGGGATGTTTGGGTTTGGAATGTTTTGGTTTGGGATATTTATATTTGAGATGTCTTAGTTTGAGATGATTGGTTTTGGGACGTTTTGGTTTGCTGTTGTTTTGGAGGTCTAATAGAACTTTGTATATGGGATTTATTTTTTTTATGGGAGGAAGGCATACGATACTTGTTATCACTTTTTTGTAAAGATAAAGACCCACGCCATTTTCCTTTACAGAAACTATTATTATACTCTTCTTGGGAGGAATAATTACTAGGACTACTAGTATATTCTTGTTGGGGTGAATTGGAATGTGATTTATTATAACAAGATTTGTGCTTTCTATGCTTTTTTTTATGAGAACCACCACTATATTCTTGTAAAGAGTATTTGCTAGAATTACTAGCACATTCCTCTTGTTCAGGTAAATCTGGACAAGAGATAATATAACATTGTAAATAAATGCAATTAGATACTATAACCAATTTATTACTTATAATTACTTTGGTTATCCATTTTTTTTAAAAAAAAGATCTTTGTTGATAAACAAGTGGTAAAGAGTTGCTTAAAGAGGTCGCGTAAAGGATTACGTTATGATAAAAATGAAAAAATTTCACTAAAATTTAAAACATTTATATATACTTATATATTTAAAATTCTAATAATGTGTATGATTCATATTTCTATAAATGTAACTTGTTGACAAAATTCTATGTAACTATTCCTAATAAAACATTAAAAAATGAAACTTACGTTTTATAAAAGAATTAATAATATAAATTGATTTCTATTAAAATATTTAACAGAATATTAAAGTATTTATTGTTGCTTTCAAATTAATGAATTTTGTAAATTCTAGAAAACTATTGTCTTCACGATGATAAGATGCATGATTCATAAGATTTACAAAATTCAATAATAACACGAAATTAACTCCAAGCCTGTTTTAAAAAAAGTCTAAATGTAAGAAAGTGTCTAATTGTGTGAGCAAAAATTTGTGTAATATCTATTATTGAAAATATTATACATTATTATCATTATTATATAACCTCTACTATTTAGTTAAAATTAAAAAATTATAAAAATGTTTATTGGTCTTTTGGGACCAAGTTCTAACCAATTCTTCCAAATCCTTTTAAGATCTGTCAGAGCTCGGTTCTTATAGTTGTTTCATTATTTTTGAGACATCTAATAAAAAATTGACTGAATGATTGTTTAGCCGATTTGATAAGTTATTGATCTTGGTATAATCAGTGTAACATTTATTATAGTTTAAATATAGATAAGTATATATATACATTTTAAAATTGATTACTGATCAATTTGTAAATTAACACTCACATGAAACAAATAAAATACTATATAGCTTTAAATGATCTCTATTTTTACATCTTAACCAAAGTCGTATCTCTGATTGTAACATATAAAAATTTTAGTCAGGCTTTTCTTTCATTAAAGTCTTAAGATATTTTAGATTTAGTAGATGATAGGTGGTGAAAGTCTTTCAATACATTTATATCTTTAAATTGTTTGAGGACTCGACTTATTGAAGTTTTACTAATACTTAAATGTTTAGCAATTGTTTGAGTTAATAACTCTTGTAATTTTTTTTGACTATTTTCAGCAAAATATGCTTTGAAAATATTATATTTAGTCAGAGTTATATCAATATTGGTTATCTGACCATTATTGTCACTACTGCACTATAAGTAGAGGTTATTTATAGCCTTGTAATATTTTATGTTTCACATAAGTTCAATTTACAAATCAATTTAAAACGTATGTATGTATGTACATACCTGGATAGAGACTATCTCAATAACAGAAGTGACCGTTTAAAGATTCTAATAGAGTTATACAATTGGTAAATATTTTACAATACTTCTTTTAAAGCTCAAATAGCTCAATTTTCTATGAAATGAGAATAAATTTAATGGATGAATTAATGTTTTACTTATAACAAATTTTTTGAATCCCTGTGAATACATAACTTTTTTGGGATTATCTAAAGCGGGGTAATTTTATGTGATCACAACCAATTAAATTATAAAATTTTGATGATAAAACAAAAATGAAAAACTTAAAAAATATATACAAAAAATGGTACTCTAAACCAGCATTAACACAAGACAACTTTGAACAATTGTGGACAATTATGAATAAAAAAAATCTAAATCACTTAAAATTTCATTAAGATAACCTATTTTAATCTTTTAAGCAAAAATATTCAAAACTATAAAAAATATATAATCATAACTTTTTTAAACTAATTTATTAAATTAAAGCTTAAATATTCTTTAGGGATGGAGAAGTTTGGTTTGGTTTGGTTTGGTTTAATTCAAATTTGATTGATACATGATCTGCATAAGTAAGAATTTATATTAGATTGGACCAAACTTCCCCATCCCTAATATTCTTTAAATAGTTGTAGATACTGTGAACATTTAAACGTGAATATAGACAAAAAAGTCTTGAACACAATAGATGTGACAATGCTGGTCTAAACCTATCTCAAGTAGGTTAAGTAAAAAATATTAGAAAGACAATTTTGCTTATATACATATAACAACCTAAAACCTTAATATAAGATGACCCTAACTCTAAGAATATGTATTTCTCTTGCTTTTAGACGTTCCCCTATTTAGTATCAAAAATCTAGACAGACACAGGTTTAACAATCACTTACTTATAATATATTTGGCAATAGTGAATATTGTCTTTAGGTTACTTGTATTCTAACTCGTATTTTTCCTTTATATTCTTATATATTATTACATAATAACATCATAAGTATACTATGCCATTATATACTAGAAAAAATTTCTTAAATAAGCAAGCACATAAATAAATTTGCATTTTCTTTATTTGTAATTATATGTAGCACATTTCCCTATATATAAGCAGAAATTTCATTTCCCCTTATACCCAACTGCCCAAGATATAATCATTATATATTAATGCTCTTTATATTCTTTTTAACCAATGTTTAGAATAACTTGCTCTTTATAATATTCTTTTCAATTAACTAAGAATTAAATATAGCAGTAGCAAGCAGTATAATAATGTACTGTTAACAAAATTTTTAATTTTTAATTTTTATCTAATTTAGCAATTTAGATTAAATTTACTCTTTTGTTTAGTAGAACAGAGCTCGACATATAAGAATTCAGATCGAAAAATAAAACTTAGAGATGCTGATATACTGTTAGTACTAGTTACGATCTACTTAAATTTTTATATTGAGGTAATTAAATTACTACCTAATTATGACTTTGTTATATACATAAATATGTCTGCACCTCAAGAGGCGAAAATTATGTGAATTATTTAAATTATGCATAATATAACTGCAGAATAATTAAATATTTTTGTATAATAAATACTCTTTATAATGTCTTGATATCAATAACATAAAGAATTAAACGAAATAAATGTAAATTTAAATTTGATTTAAATATGTTTGATGCTTTTGTATATTCTTTTTGTATTATTTAATCGATTGTGATCTGTGATACATTTTGTTTTAGACATAATATTTTATATTAGACACTTGATTATAGTAAGGAAAATTATAAAAGCAATTCAGCAAAGCGAACAAAATAATTTCATAAATCTAAAAATTACTTGCAACTAAATTTATATGTATTAGAAACCTTAAGTGTTTTATTATCTTTTTGTTATATAAAATATATTCAATATGCGCTGGCAGTGCTGTCATTGTAAAAAAGAATTCTCTAAACCTTATGCTTTGACACAACACATATCTCAAAAACATACTAGAAAGCCCAAAAATATATCCATAGTAGAATCAACTTCTCAGCAATCATATATTCTTGATGATGCTATTTGGAATATGCCAAAAGATCCTAATAATAATACTATTTCAAATATATCAGAAGATCCTAATGATGATACTATTTGGAATATGCCAGAATATCCAAATGATAATACTGTTTGGAATATACCAAAAGATCCTAATGATGATCTATGGCTAAATAATGTTCAAAGTTTTAATCTGAATAGAACTTACTGATTTCTTATTCGAATAATATTTGAATAACTTAAATCAACAAATATTATTTGAATATTCGTCAAGTGACTAATACTATTTAAATAAGTACTATTTATTTGAATAACATAGTTTTGGATGTAGTGCAGCTAGTAATATATAGTCACTATATGTGAATCACCTAGTTTCATATAATAAATAATACTATTCAAATTATTTATTACCATAGTGCACTGGCCAAAGTACCTCTTTTTCAGTACCCCCGTGCAAAGTACTCTAGTGCCAAACACAAGATCTCTATTAATTAAAAATAAGTTTTTTTAAATTTTTAAGCTGATTATTGTAAATGTAGAATATGTGTATATTTGAAAGTATTTTTTTCTTGCAATACAGACCTGCTATAGCATAATGTACCTGGGTCCTTTGTAAGTTTTTGATGGGTAGATTGTATTGTACCCAAGGTACTTTGGTCAATGCATTATGGTAGATAATTCTTTATTTGAATATTTGCTGAATCTCTAAATGCATAATGTTAACAAAAAAATATTATAATTTTTAATCATGGTTTAAATTTAGAACCAAGAAATGTCACAAACAGTAGAATCAAATCTTTTCAATTATGAACTTTCTTTGAATCAATCGGATTATTCTGAACAAACTTCTTTTTTTCCATCTTATTCTCATTCTATTGAATTAAAATTTGAGGAAGTGTCAATTAATGAAGACTTTAAGGGAGCATCATTTGAAGATGCTTACTGTGAATTGTGCAATCCAGAAAAAGTACAATGGCCCAGTGATGCTTATCATGAATTTATGGAAATTACTACTAAATATCAGCTTTCAGATCAGGCTGCTAATGCCTTTATACGTTTTTTAATAAATTTTTTAATTTGAAAAAATCACCTTTGCCTTCATCAATACGTGTTAGGAAAGAATTTTTGAATGACACAAATATTCAATATACAACATTTAAGGAAACATCAATCGCAACATTCCAAGATGTCAAATATACACTCTATTATCGGCCAATAATTCAAGCTATTAAATTATTATTAGTAGTTAATAGTATTAATCACGATCTGATATTAAACTATACAGAAAGTAGTAAAACAAAAAATGGCATAAAATATTGAATATTTGAAGAACAATATAATTGCAATTGGTGGAAGCGAGAAGAATCCAAACTAATTGCTGGCCAACATCTACTTTCAATAATTCTCTATTCTGATGCTACGACCTTAGATTATATGAGAAAATCTTCTGGACATCCAATATTTCTATCTCTCGGCAAAATTCCAAACTTTCAGAGAAATAAATTAGAATCAAAGGCATTAATAGGATATTTACTAATATTAAAAGCCAAAAATTTAAAATTCAAAAATTCTGATAGTTTTAGAAAAGCACAAAGACTTGTTTTTCAGCAATGCTTATCGATTCTTTTAACTCCTATAATTGATGCACCAGAACTTAATTTTGTAGTTCAACAAAATATAATCACATTTATTCC